GGTCTGTCCCCGTCCCCCCCCGCCCCGCCATCCCCAGGGCACTCACCGGGCTTTCAGCTCCTTGTGCTCCTCCCGGACTTTGCTGAGCTCCAGCTGCAGCCGAGCTCTCTCCTTGGCCACCGAATCCAAGGTCTTGCGGGCATCCGCCAGCTCCGACTCGTAGGCAGCCTTGATGCCCGAGACCTCGCGGCTCACCACCTCCTCGGACTCGGTGATGCGGAGCCGCAGGCCGGCGTTCTCCAGCTCCAGCGAGCGCACCTTGTCGATGTAGACGGCCAAGCGGTCATTGAGCTCCTGCAGGTCCTCCTTCTCCTGCAAGCGAGTGATGCGGGTGGGGGACAAGGGGGTCCCCGAAGTCCCGCTGCGGGTGCTCCTCTTCTGCGAAGGCGTCGCCATGGGGGCCGGCGTCGAGGCGAAGGACACGGCACAGGGCACAGCTCGGCGTCCCACGCCACCCACCCAGCTGTCTCGGCTGCTCCTGGTTGTCTGAGTGACTTGCTTATATCCCAGCTGGGCTGTGCACTGGGAGGAGGAGCTGCGAGGAGGAGGCGGGTGGAGTTATCCGAAACCTGGGTGGAGACAAACCCCCTTGCATCAGTCAAGGCCCTTGCTTGGGAAAAGCTGGAAAAGCATCGCTGGGCAAAGGGGCCTTGGGAGGGCGGCTCTGGGGTGCGCCAGCCCGCGGTGACCCCCTTGCAAACCTGCTCCCCCTTTTCTAGTGTAATTCCCCCCGCTGAGGCTGGTTTTCAGCCTGGGGGGACTTGTCAAAGTGCACCCTGAGAGGGGCTGCAGCAATGGGGTGCAGCCAGGCACCCCCAGGATCCCCCGGCTGGGCGCCCCCCGGACAGGGCAGGGGGCACCTCAGCAGCTGACCCCAGGGTGCTGGGGGGTCCTGGCATACCCTGAATGCAGGGCCCCCAGGTTGCACAGAACCCGGCAGCACCCCAAACTCTGGGCTCAGGGAACCCAAATACGGAGTCCAAGGTCACCCCAAACACCACAGCCTAGGGGTACCCCAGAACCCCGAGGCATGACAGACACAGAGCCTTGGGGCACCAGAGGGCACGCCCCACCCCCCCAGTTTTCCCAGCACCAGCTTTGCCCAGTTCTCTCGACGCTGCCTGTCCTTATTTCCAAGCTCTCCCCAGTAGCAGCTTTTTATCCTTTCTCCCAGTTTCCCATGCCCAGTTTGTAACAACACCCCCAATTCTGAGCACCAGTTGAGTCCAGTTTCTCCCTCCCCTCTTCCCTGCCACCAGCTGTTTCCCAGTCACCCACCTCCCAGTGCCAACCATTCCCAGTCCCGCCAGCACTCAGCCATTCTTCCAGCATCTCCAGTTCCCAGCGCAGGCGATTCCCAGTGCTCCCAGCCGGCGGCAGAACGGGGTGCAGGGTGCCCTTCCTCCCTCCAAGCGCTGCTGAGGCTTGTGACTTCCAGATCTGCCACACGCTGCCTGACACCCCCAGCGCTACCACGGGGGGGGAGTTGTCGCTTCCTTGGATTTTGTCCCCCCCTGTGCTTTACACTACAAAGCCAAACCCTCCTGCACAGCTCAGGGAGAACTGGGACCAGTAAGGTGAATGGGCAAGCAACCCTTTGGCACCCCAGAAACGAGGGGCTGAGCCAGGATGGCGGCGGGTGGTGACCATGGGGGGCTCCAGCTTCCCCCTTTGTGATTCCCTGCTTGGAAAATCGGGTTCTGCAGCAAGGAAAGCTGGAAAAGGAGCTGCACCCCTTGTCTGGGGGCACTGGTGAGAGCCTGGGCAGCAGCACCCACCCCAAAGCACGACCTGCCCCGTCCCTCATCGGGATGGAGAGACCCAAGGCCAAAGGCACGGCCAAAACGCCGCTTCCCGCGGCGCCGCCGGCCCCAGCTCACGCTGCTCGCGCTGCGACGGAGCCCGATTCCTTTCCCAGATAATTGAAGTGCAGCAAAGCCCGGGCAGGCCGGGAATGACTCACACAGCAACCAGAGCAACACACGCAAACACATGCGCGGTCGCACACGTGCGTGTGCATGCGCGCTTTATGAATGATTAATCCCCGCTCGGCTCCCAGCCCCGTGAGTCACTGCTGCCGGCGAGCGGTAGCGGGGTGGGGAGAGGGACCGCAGCAAAAACCAACTTTCAAAAAGCAACAGCCCGACTCCAGGAAGACGCCCCAGCACCACAGCGGAGCTGGG